TGGGAGCATGAATAGCGCTACGAGTTGATCATTCTTGTGATGTCAGTTTTGGCTGTGGGCTGCTGGTGGGGACCGTGCTTCTGGCTGAGGATAATTCACAGGTAGTGGGGGCAGCTGTGAACCCTTTAACAGCCAACACTCGCAGAAGCTGGGGGTGAGGGACTCCAGACAAGTACCAACTCACCATGTGATACCTGGACACTGCCTTCCGAAGAGCAGCTCCATCCACTCTGCTCTCCAGCCCCTGAGAAGCCAGAGTTTAACAGTGGACTCATATCAGTCACCTCCATATTTTCCTTATCTCTTGTCTCCTTTGAGTGAAGTGCTGTACTAGGGGAGGTTTCCTTAATGCAATGGTGTCACCGCTGAGAAGTTAAGTATAAATCAAATGTTTGCACTTGAGTCCTAGTGAATCCAGCATCTGCTTCTTTAATAGGGAATATTTCATTGACTAGGAAGGTTCATTTTAATTTCATCTTGAGTTGTTTTTACAGAGAGGAATAAAAAGCAGTTATAGAAATGATTAAGAAGGCTACGCTAAGTTCAGGTGTGTGAGTGAACTGCTCTACTCTTAGGTTTCATTTATAAATCTTAGGCATCCAGAGTCATGATGCATAACTACCACCTTTAATTGCTTTATTAGTTGGATGACCACTATCCACAGCTCTTCATCTTGTCTTTTTTTTTTAATCCTCACTTGAGGACATGTCAATTGATTTTAGAGAGAGAAGTGGCGGGGTGGGGCGGGGAGAGGGAGAGAAACATTGATGTGAGAAAGAAACATTGATTGGTTGCCTCCTGTGTACACCTCCACCAGAGATTAAACCACAACCCAAGTATGTGCGCTGACTGGGAGTCAAACCCGTGACCTTTGGGTGCACAGGATGATGCTCCAACCAACTGAGCCACCTGGCCAGGGCACAGCTCTTCATCTGGTCTTCTTTAAACTTTATGGAGATTGTTGAACATACAGACAGAATAGAAGAATGGAGCCATGTGTAACCTTCACTAAACTCCAATACTAATCAACTTTTGGCTCATCTTGGGCAACTGGTCTTTAATCGTAAAAATCTTCTCAGATTTAAAGCAATAGTGACAACAACCAAAGGTTTAAAACGAGGGGTAAGGAGACCTGAGTCTCCTTTGCAACATTGATGAATGTGTAACCTTGAGGAAATCCCCAGCCCAGGGCTAACCTATTGCTTGCAAGGCCTGGCTCACTCTTTTAAAGGACAGCTTCCTGCACAGTCCTGCGGCCACAGTTGGGGTTAGACTGGAATCTGAGATCCCCGCTTAGAGGGATTTTCCCATGATTCTTCTCAATATCCATAGTGCATGAGATCCCATGTTCATTTGGCATTCACTGTGACTATGCAGCTTGTTCTTGCTTATCCTCAGTGTTTCCACCTGTAAAGTGGAAATGAATGCAGACCTACCTTTACCACCTCAGAACTGTGAGAGGATTAAACAAGATAATGCAGCAAGAACTCAGCAGAGAGTTCTTGCTTGCTAAGTGCTTGATAAATTAGACCGGGATGACTTTTTGAATTTCCTTTGGCAGTTATATTTTGCATTTGTATATTGTATTTGTTTTGTATTTTATTTGTAACTTACGGTGTTTTCTCCTAGCAATTTCAATGGCAGCTTCTAGGACTTGACCTTTCTCTCACCACCCTTTCCGTGGGATCATGCCCCCAAACAGCCTCATGGCCACAGTAGGTATGGCACTGGGCACAGGTCCTACCTGACCCAGGAGGCATCCTAACACGCTCACCCGCCATAGAGCTCACCCTCCATAGTGTCCTCAGCTCAGCCAGGGCTGTGGGCGTGGCCCTGCCCAGCCAGGTAAAAGTGGCTCCCCCAGACTGCCTTCAAACCCCATGGGGGCGGTGAGGCTTATTAGAAACACCCTTCTTCTCCTATCCTCCCATCCTCCTCCACCCCTGGAAACATCCCAGCTTGGGAGGGAGGGGCTTCCATGATGACAAGCAGAACTTCAGGTCCCCTAGGAACAAAGCCCACATCCCCTCCTGCCTTAAGTCCCTGTGGGATGGCCCTGGCCCCAGAGCAGGGTGGTTCAATCCTCAGCTACCCAGACCCTGCCAGGCTCTCTTCTTTCCAGGGGAGTATATAGTTACGGACAGGGGTGGAGGGAGGGAGGGGGGATGGGAGAAGAGATGTGATTATGTGAAAAATACTGGAATAAAGTTGCCAAGTTAGATATGAAGCTAATGTCCATAGGACAATAAATAAAGGCTAATTTCTCTACGAAACAGAAATGATTTACTTCTCCAAACAAAAATTATTTGCATCTTATCAGTTTCCTACAGATTAGCACCTAACTTTAAGTGGTCTGGGCCCCAGTCAACAGCAAATGAGTCAAAGTTACTTTGCCCTGGAGAATCAGCCAACTATTAGATGGCTTTGTTAACATAATGCTCTAGAGCAACACTGTCAATATAAATGTAATGCAAACCACATATGTAATTTTAAATTTTCTAGTAGCCACATTTTTTTAAAAAAACAAGTAACTGGTAACATTAATTGTGACAATATTTTTATTTTATTTTACTTATTTTTAGAGAGAGGGTAAGGGAGGGAGAAGGAGGGGGAGAGAAACATCTATGTGAGAGACAAACATCAATCCATTGCCTCTCATATGCTCTGCGACCGGGGACCGAACCTGAAACCTGGACATGTATCCTGGCCAGGAATCAAACCTGCGAACTTTTGCTTTGCAGGACAACGCCCAACCAACTGGGCCACATTGGTCAGGGCTGTTATGATACATTGTATGTAACCCAATATATTCAAAGTTATTATCATTGCAACACGTAATCAATACCAACAAATTTACTAATGAGGCCTTTTACTTTTTTTTTCCTAACTAAGCGATTGAAATCTGAGAGGTATTTTATCCTTATAGCACGTCTCAGTTCCAACTAACTACCTTGAAGTGCTCAATGTCACACAGGGCTAGTGGCTGTTGTACAGGTAGCGCAACTCTAGAGCAGTGCTTCTCAAGCCTTAGGAAGCATCACAGTCACCTGGAGGAATGATGAAAACACAGGTGGCTAGGCCCCGCCCCCAAGAGTTTCTGATTCTGTGTGTCTGAGGTGAGGCCTGAGATTTCTGCATTTCTACCCAGTTCCCAGGTGCTGCTGCTATTGCTGCTGCTGCTGGTGTGGGTACCACACTTTGAAAACCACTGTTCCAGGATGACTTTGAAAGGACTCACAGTCCTCTTTTTGCCTTATTTGCAAGTTGTGGATAATTTTTCTTAATAGCCCCGAGGCTGGCGAGGAGGGTCAGGGCCTGCCCTGCTGCAGCCAGAGGCTCTCTGGAGAGTGTGCGCATTGGCGCGCCTCTCACTGGGTGGGAGCAGCCTCGTGGACTAGCTGGCATGGGTGAGATTTCAGCAGCTCCACCATCGGTGGCATCGACTATGTGCAGATCTGAGCTAGAGGCTCAAAGGGAAGGGAAAAGGGGACTGACTGTCATCACCCCCAGGGAGGGCCCAGGCCTTGTGTGGCTGCTTCTTACTCAACGCCACTCTGCAGGGAATGCCAACCAGCCTCAGACACTGAGATGTCCTGGGGCAGGTCGGCATAGATGGAGGTGCCTGCAGGGCCCTGGGGCTCTCAGGGAGGGGTGGTCCCCGATGGCCAGACAGGAAGTGAGAATTGGTGAGGACCCAAAGGCTAAATGCAACCTGTACCGGAAAGGGAAAAGGTGGGAAGACCTGGTGAGCAAGAGCAGAACCTGCTGGATCCATGGTTACGTCACTGGCGGTGGCAGGGCCGCGGCCCCACCACCTCAGCCTCCTGCCTGGAAGAAAGGAAGACCAAGTGCTCATGTATTTGTTAAAAAGCAGCCTCATCACTGCATCTGCTGTGCTTTTGTCTAATTACTGTTATGTGAGAAAAGAAGATATCCTCTGTATCTGTATTGTGTGTCTGACAGGTACTCGATGCACGTGTGATGGGTATAGGCTCTGTGATTATATTTTTGCTTTGTATATAATGGGTATCATAGCAATGCATGTATGAGGAAGATCTCTGGGGGTGCTGGGGCAGGAGGTCTGCTATGTGTGAGCGAGATCTGTGTGTGAGGGGGGTTTGTTACGGGGATCTGCTGTGAAGGAGGAAGGGGGATCTGCTTGCTATGTGTGATGACTGTACAGTATTTGCAATGACTATATTTTGGGTGATCACATACAACATTAACTGGTATATTAACGCATATACTGCCATATTCTTTCTCTGCTTATACCATGTAGGATGAGCATATGCTGTACATAATGGGACTCTGTGTGATTAGTATATCATATGTGTATGATAAGTACAGGCTGTATGTAGAATACGTATTGTATAGGCTTCTGTGAAGGGTATACCCTGAGTGTGGTGGGTATACACTGTGTATGATGGCTGTTTTGTAATAGTTTATAAGGCATATACAGTGTATAGAAAGGATATACTGTTTTTGACAGTATACACTGTGCGGGGTGATGGATACACTCTGTGGGGAGACATGCTATGTGATAGGGATGCATATACACTATGGGCATATACTATGACAAATATGCATGGAGTGGAATAAGTTTACAGGTAAGTGCGAGTACCTGCTGCGTATGGAGTATACATTGTGTGGTGGGTATAATTCATGAGTAATAGGTACATATAATATATATAACAGACACGTTCATTAACAATACACTTTGTGTAAGTGTCATAAGTATACATTGTGGGACAAATAGGCACTGTGTGATGCTACACTGGAGATATTCTGTGTATGAAGTAGTCATTGGAACGGGTTCTACGCCGTGGACACCAGGCATCCTGTGTGTGTGCAGCTTGTGATGGGAATATGGGGAGTGTGCCTGCGTGCGAGCAGGCAGGATGGAGTCACTCTGCTGGGAGGAGGCATGGCAGGGAGAAGTTGGATCTTCATTTGTTTCCAGAACCCTCAGGCCCTTGAGCCCACTGACTATGCTGTTTCAGGTTCTTTCTCAAGTTCTTCCTCAAATGCAACCAGAACTGCCTAAAGAATGCAGGGAATCCCCGAGACATGCGCCGCTTCCAGGTGGGTCTGGGGAGAGGGTTCCCCCTGCAAACCTGCTCTTCCCTGACAGTGGGAGTTGCGGGGAGGCTCAGGCCCTGTCGCCCTAGGAAAGGCCTGGAGGGTAGATCCCTGCCCAGCCCGGCACTGCGCTTCGGGGTCTGGTGCCTGCTGGGGGTGGAGTGGCTCCATCTCAACTTATGCTGGCTGCCAAGGGAGGCTTCATTAGAGTCCCACTTAAGGAGATGCTAATTGTGACATTTTTACATGATTAACGACCCAGCTAATTTGCATAGTGTGAAGCAGAGAGCAGCTGCCCTTAGCACATCCCCAACCTGCACACCCGTCCCGGTGAAGGAGGAGCAAAAAAGGCAGCCCCAATTTCCTCCCAAGGGTGGCGGCTCCTGCTGACGGGTTCTCAGGCTGATGCTGCACGCCCCCCCACCCCATCAACACTCTAACTCCCACTGCCTAAGACCCATTCCTGCCTTGGATACCCAGGGATACAGCCTGGGCTACTATGTATGTGCAAAAACAGTAGCCATTCCACCCAAGGAGATGGATTTTTTTTTTGTTTTTTGGGTTTTTTTCCCCAGAGCTTTTGATTTTTCTAGCTCCTAGGGGTCAGTTTCCCTGGGCAGCCAGAGATTCTGGGGTGTCACCTGACCCAGCTGGCCACCGCCCCCGCCCCCCCCCCGCCCCCCCGCCCCGCCCCCGCCTTCCACCAGCTCAGCCCCTGAATTCTAGCATCCAGCCACCAGCCTCAAGTTGCTGGTCTTCCACAAGAGTTCCCTCCTGGGAGCCTCCCCTGCTCCAGGGCTCCAGCCAGGCTGGCCTCGGCTCTCCCCGCAGGTGGTGGTGTCCACGACTGTGAGCGTGGACGGACATGTGCTGGCCGTGTCTGACAACATGTTTGTGCACAACAACTCTAAGCACGGCCGCAGGGCACGCCGCCTGGACCCCTCCGAAGGTCAGGACTCCCAGTCCAATCCCATTGTCAGACCCTGCCGACCCTCAGGCCCCACTTTGGGGCCTGACCCTGACCTGGCTCCTCTCCTGCCTCCCAGCTGCCACCCCCTGCATAAAGGCCATCAGCCCCGGGGAGGGCTGGACCACGGGCGGCGCCACCGTCATTGTCATCGGCGACAACTTCTTCGATGGGTTGCAGGTCGTGTTCGGGAACGTGCTCGTGTGGAGCGAGGTGGGCCACCCTAGCCAGACTCCCTCTGGGCCTCGGGGCTGGGCCTTCGCCCCTCCCTTCGCTGGGTTGGAACTCGCAGGCCGCCTCTCTCCCCTTACAGCTCATCACGCCCCACGCCATTCGGGTGCAGACGCCCCCGAGGCATATTCCCGGGGTGGTGGAGGTGACCCTGTCCTACAAGTCCAAGCAGTTTTGCAAAGGAGCCCCTGGCCGCTTTGTCTACACAGGTACGGAGTCAGGTGTGGGAGGGTAGGCGGGGGTGGGGTGGGGGTATCGGTGGAAGGAGCTCCGTTTTGAGTACCGCGCTGAGCCCTGGTCTCGGAGTTACCCAAAGTCTATCGTGTTGGCTCCGCCCCCTAGTGGCTGCTTTCCTTCCTATCCAGGCCTTCCGCCTTTACCCTACGACCCTTCCTCCCCTCCTCATTGGATTTATTTTCCCTGTGCTTCCCTCTCTCTGGCCTCTGGCTCCTCAGTCCCCTCCCAGGCGCGGAGTCTCCGCCCTCCTTGACATTCTCTCTGCCTGAGGACTTCTCGCCAGAGTGTCTACAACATCCCACTCTCCAGGGTCTAGAACATCTCCACGGGGATGTTTATTTCAAAGATGCCCCCAAATAAGCTCGCTGCTCCTTGAATCCTCCCAGTCTCGTGGCTCCCCCAAGCCTCACTCTGCAGGCGTGTACATACACACACACACACCCCCTCTGCAGGAGCCAGGACAAGAAGTTAACACCTGACTTGAGTGAAAGCCTCGCCCTAAAGATGCAGGGTACAATCCCCTACCCCGGCTCTATCTGGCCTCTGGCGAGAATCTTCACCTCTGCCCCAGCCCAAGCCACCCACTTCTCCCCACTTCTCCCACCCTCCCCAGCGCTTTGCGGAGCTCCCACCACTTAGTAGTGACCCTACTTACTGTCAGCGAGTATCAGGCTCACTGGGGAGGCTAAGCAGTGAACACTGTTCTGTGGCTGGAGATACATGAGGGAGGGGTTGGTGGCCAGGGAATTACTCCTGGAGAGTGGGGGCTAAAATGGGACAGGAAGGGGGAGTGGGGAGTTAGAGATAGCGAAGGAAAGTCGCCCAGGGAGAAAAAAAAGGAATACCAGGAATCTGGGGTGAGTGTTTTACGCTTTGGGGTAAACGAAAGGAAATTCTCTAAATCTGAAGTTAGGGGTGAAGGTAGGTAAGGCTTTGATGCTGGCGAGTTAAGTTAGGGTGGGGTATAAATGGAGACTGTTGGGGGGTTTCTTTTTTATAACAAACAATTTACTCCCCATAAGACCAAATGCAGACGGAAAACTCTCCCTCCAGTTCTGCGGAAGCTAATGTGTATATACAGTTTCCCTTTGGGTGATAAGAAAGGAACTGAGGAAACTTCAAACCTCGCTGACCCCTTGCACCGGGAGTGTCCGAGAGGTTTGGGTTGGGCTTGGTGGAGGGGTCTGCGGCGAGGCTCCGGAGCCGGTCGGCTGGGCCCTGCGCCCGGGGCTGGGAGGGGGGCGTCCTCCAAACGCCACGCTTTCCCCAGCCCTGAATGAACCCACCATTGACTATGGATTCCAGAGGCTACAAAAAGTCATTCCCAGGCACCCCGGAGATCCGGAGAGGCTGCCCAAGGTACTCAGAGGGGCGCCCCGCGGCGGGGATGGGGGTGTTCTGTGACTTGGTGGGGGCGGGGGAGAGAAAGGGGCCCCTGCCGCTCTGTCGGCCCCCGGGACTGCTCCTTGGTCCCGCTGTCTCCTTCCCTGCCCCCAGGAAGTGCTGTTGAAGCGGGCGGCTGACTTGGCGGAGGCTCTGTACGGAGTGCCCAGCAGTAACCAGGTATGGCGCCTCCTACAGCTTCCCAGCGCCCCTAAACCCGGGCTGCCTGCGTCCGGGCGCCTGCGGCTGCCCCGGCTGTGCCCTGCTCTTGTCTTCACAGGAGCTCCTCCTGAAGCGCGCTGCAGACGTAGCTGAGGCTCTGTACAGCGCCCCCCGTGCGCCTGCGCCGCTCGGGCCCCTGGCCCCCAGCCATCCGCACCCCGCCGTCGTGGGCATCAACGCTTTCAGCAGCCCGTTAGCCGTTGCAGTCGGGGAAGCCACGCCTGGCCCGGAGCCGGGTGCGTCCTGCAGTCCCCGGCGCGCAGATGGCCCCTTCCCTGCAGCGCTGCTCCTCTGATGGTCGCTCTCTCATAGGCTACGCGCGCAGCTGCAGCAGCGCATCTCCGCGAGGGTTCGCGCCCAGCCCGGGCTCACAGCAGAGCAGCTACGGCAGCGGCCTCGGAGCTGGCCTCGGCGGCTACGGGACACCGGGAGTGGCTGGCCTTGGCGTGCCCGGCTCCCCTAGCTTCCTCAATGGCTCCACGGCCACCTCACCCTTCGCCAGTGAGTGCCCTTTACCCATGGAGGGAGGAACTGGGACCCCTGGGAGCAAAGTGGGGCTCAGCCCTGCCTCCTATGAGCCCTCGCGGGGAGGGGCTTCCGACACCAGTACTGTGAGGACCGACACTGGCCTTGCCATTGGAGGCCAGGCCCGCCCTCTGTGTGCAACCTCTCTCTGAAGTTGGGCACCTGCTATTCAACTCAGCCGCTTGGCTTCACATACCAAGCCCGGGGCCTGGGGCAGTTCTTGCACCTTTAACCCTTTTTGCTGACTCTAGTGGTACACATCACTTCTAGCATTCGGCGCCGTCTTGAAACAGTTTTAACTAGGGGACATCCCGCTGAAACCTGGCTGACCGCCACCTTTCCATATTATACCAGACTTTGGGCGGAGGATGGCTCCCCCTGCCGGAAGCCTGAGGGAACTCAGGGCTCCAGAAAAGGGGGCTTCCGCCTGGCCCCACATTCCCCTGTAGCATTGTTCTGATAGGGAGGGGTTGAAGCAAGAAGATACGGCTCCCTGCGATGGAGCCAGGTAGAGCAGCGAATTCTGTGTGGTCAGACAGCTGGATTCAGTGTTTGAGTGTCCCAATCAGGAGCTATGTGACATTCCGCAAGTTATTTACTTGAACGTCAGTTTCTTCTCTGTAAAATGGAATCATTGTCATCCCCTGCCTAGGGTTGTTCTTAGATCTGAATGTGTCACTGGGCACTAATCATCCTCTGTCTGGCTTCCTGAGGTGGGGCAGTTCAAAGCCAAGTGGATGGGCAGCAGGACATTTATGCTTTTACCACTTGCACTGCCCTCAGGTCCCTCTTTCCAACACCAAGTTCCAGAGCAGCCTGTTTTCAGCTCCTTATAGCTTAGTTATTCAGTAGACATTTATAAAGCATCTACTGTGTGCAAAGTATCTCCCTATCAGTTGTAAGAGAGATTGTACCTCAAGTCCTGGGGATGCTGCTGAGCCAGAAGGCTGCCCAAGGAGAAGCTGGCTGTGATTTTTCCTGTGGTTTCCTTGCCTGTCCCCTGTCTTATGTTTGCTACTGCTGAGGATCAAAATAGCTGGTCACCTGCCTAGCCTTCCTTGCCAGTGGCCTGCATCCTGGGTACTGCTCTTTCTGGCTGTGCGTTTGAGTCTGCCATTCTCTTCCCTTCCCAGACTCAATTTCTGGAACCCTAGGTCCCACATTCCAGTGTCCACACAGGCTGTGATGCTCTGGAGCCCCTCCCAAGACCTCTGTCTCTCCTGGCCATTTGCCCAGGCCAGGCTCCACTGCTCTCACTCCCCTTCAGTCCTGGGACAGTACTCTTCACACCTGTCTCTGGGTGCCCCTTGGATTTGAAGCTGGTGGAATCTGAACCACCAACCTCCCTCCCCCGCTATGCACACAGTGCCATCAGCAGTGAAGGAACACATGGCCCCAGTGGGCAGAAGCCAGGCCACCTGGGGTCTCCCTGTTCATCCAGAGGATCAAGAATTCTAGAGCTGCTTATGCCTCACTAACAGCATCAGCTGGGGACACCCTGGACTCACCCAAGGACCAGTCCCATCTGGTACTATTGTTTTGACTAGTGCTTGCTCAGGTCCCCATCTACTCCTCATGTGCCGAACACTTTGTGGTATAACTTCAGGGGCTGTCATCTTCACTGAGTGTGCCAGGACGTGCCTAGAATGGCATCCAGAACTGTCCCAGACAAAGGGTCTGCGGCTATCTGTTTAGGCTGCCCCTTGGTCTTCTACTTTGGCCCCCAGCAGCCCTGGACTGACCCACAACTCCCGGTCATACCCAAGCTACAAAATATGGCTGTGAGTCCCTGGCCTTGAGAGATAGAGTAAATTCGTCTCAAGCCCTCCATGGAGCTCTTGGCCTCATCAGCTGGCAGTGAGCATTGTCCTAAAGGACATGACCTTCTATGGGCTGAGGGTGTTTGGAACAGGGGCAACACTGTATCAATGTGTGTGTGTGTGTGTGTGTGTGTGTGTGTGTGTGTGTGTGGTGGGGGAGGTGCTTTGATGCCAAAGGCAGCTAGCCATCTCAGGCTGTTGGTTTCTTCCAGAAAACCCAGCCCCCACCTCATAGCCAGCTGCTCGCACAACACTGAAATCACAGCCTGACTGATCTTTAGGAAACGCAGGGAATTGGGTTTGGATGAGGATTTGGAAAGAGGGATTCAGAGATGCCCTGGGCAGAAGAGGAGAGGAGACTAGGGGGTGGGAGGGCAGGAGAATCTGAAAATGTGGATCCCTACGCCTTTCTTTAAAACTGATCAGCTGGAAGAGAGTGATACAGGCCCGGGCAGGAGATGACAAAGACCTGTATTAAGCTGGAAGAGAACAGAGTGCCCCGGGGCAAGGGGTGCTTGGTAAGGGGAGCGTGTCTGTGGCAGAAGTTAAAGTGCTCGCTTGCTGTGAGCTCTGATCCTGGACAGAGGCCTTGTAACAGGAGCCTTCATATACCCTCAAGCTTTATCCCTGACACTTGCCCATCTCCACTATGAACCCTGATCTTTGACCTTAACTTTGGTACCTCGGGGCCCATAAATGTTTCTGAGCATCTCAGTGCCAGTGGTTTTCAGCAGGAATTCTAACCTGTTCTGTCTCTTGCTCATCTCTCATCCTCCCAGTATTTGCTTTTGTTGGATGTCCTAGTTTTGCTTTTGTTTTTACCTAGTCTGACTCTGTCACCTTGAGCCCTGAGAAAGGGTCTCCAGAACCTCCCAAAAGGGGAGCGTCGCCCCAGGACCTCGGAGGCTCCCAGCCTGCCTCCAGGTCCTGCCCTGTACTGGTCTCCCCAGGACCCTCACAGCCCCCAGTGAGGCCTGGGCCTGGGGTCAGCAGCCCACGCTGCTCACTCTGGTGCTGTCTCCCTGTTGTGTCTCCCACTGCCTTCCCCGCTGCGCCTGCCCCTCCCCGCCCCGCCCCGGAGTCATGCCCTCTAGCCCCCCGCTGGCCGCTGCCTCCTCCATGTCCCTCCCGGCTGCTGCCCCCACCACCAGCATCTTCTCCTTCTCGCCTGTCAACATGATCTCCGCTGTCAAACAGAGGAGCGCCTTCGCCCCCGTGCTGCGCCCACCCAGCTCCCCACCCCAGGCCTGCCCCAGGGCCCACGGAGAGGGGCTTCCAGGTGAGTGGTCCGTTCTAACCCACCGTGGCCTGGTGGAGCAGCTGGGCTTGAGGGGCCCATGCCATCCATATCCCACCAGAGCCTCAAGCCCATTGACCATTTCTCCCTGGAGGGTACAGAGCAAGGAGCTCCGCAGGGGTCCAAGGGGGTCCACCCGGTCCACGCTTCCCTGGACCTCATAGTTTGGGGTGGTCATCACTCTGGGTGCGATCAACTGGCCACTTGACCAAGGAAAAAGGGACTCGTATTCCAGTTGGAGAAGGTCTGAAAATTATCCCAAGGCCCCATCCCCATCTACTTGAGCCCAGAGCAGAAAGAGTCAATACTCAGAGATTCAGTACTCAGAGCTGGAGGAACCCCATGTGGACTGCATGCTTTTGACCTCTGTGTCCACTAGGAGGTAGCACACACCAGTGTGAGGGACTGGATCACTCTCTGGAAGGAAGGGGACTCGCTTTGGACAAGGTTTAGCCCAGCTTCCCCTCCCCCATTTTACAGATTTAAAAACTGAGATCACATCGCCCCTCCGCATCCCATTTGTGCAATGGTTGTCATTTGCTATTTATCAACTTCCTCCAGCTTAACGAAGTTCTATATACCTGAGTCCTAACTTGTGTATAGCAAGTCCAAAAAACTCATATCCCCTAGAGGAAGATGACTCGTAGGGTGGGCTTGTTAGATAATGCTCTAGGGTGATTTGAAAGGGCAGTCATTTTTTGCCTTGTTTTTCTTAACCTAACGGTGTCTAGAGCTTAAAATGTAAGGGGTGGGGAGGAGAGAGGACCATCCATTTCTCCTGATGTCTCCTGCCAACAAAGAGAACCGTGGGAGGTCGTTAGGCAGGGGCGAGGGGTGATGGAAATAATGAATTTCCTGGAGATATGGGGCGAAGACATGCTGCTGCTTCTGCTGCAGTGGGTATCAGCGCTCCTGGAGGCAGACCTTTTTCTGTCCTGTCCTGGTATGTGGTCATCTGCTTCCTCGCCCTGAGCCAGGCCCTCTGGAGGAGGCTGGCCAGGGAAGAGCAGCCCAGAGCCACCTCTCAAATGCAGAAGCTAGGGCAGCAAAGGTTAGGTGAGGGGCATGCCTCACCCAACTCTCTGCAATGCTGGTTCCAGGCCCGGGCTAGGGGGGCTGACTACCTTCAAGGCGCTTGACAGCTCTGTACTCAGGAAGTGTCACATGCCCTGCATACTGTTCCCAGAGAGGCAGGCAGCTGAGGTCCCCACACTACGCATGGCTTACAGCCTCTCCCCTTGATTACTGCAGACCAGCCTTTTGAGGATTCCGAGAAGTTCCACTCTCCAGCCCGGGGGCTTCAGGGCCTGGCATACTCCTAATTACGGTAGGTATCTGGCTGGCCTTGCCTCCTTCCCGGGCCCTGGGTGGGCTGCCTCTCCAAAAGACCTTAGCAGGGGTGGGGAGCTGGGGGCCAGGCCTCCCTCGCCAGGGCATCTAAACAGCTGTCAGAGCCACGTAGCCCACACAGTGGCCCAAACTGAGCAAGCGAAGTGGCTCCCTCTCCCCTTGCGGCCAGTTTCCTTCAGGACCTTCTCTCCATCTCCCAACCAGGTCTGCAGGTCTGGCCCCTGCTGGCCCAGACTGGAGGTCCCTCCGGAATTCACAGCCACACCCTGGATGGAAACAGACAGATGCAGGGCCAGGGCTGCGGACAGACCTCAACCCCTGGGCCTGAATGGGGAGAGGACTTCCTCCCCATGCTCAAGGCCCTTCCAGCCCCACAGGCTTCTCTCACCCCACTTCCTGGGGGCTGGTCAGAAGCCCCAGCACTGTGCTGATGCTCTTGGCTGGAGAGCATCCCAGGGAGGTGCTGGGATGCAGGACTTCACGCTCTGGGTCGGTTCCTCGAAAAGAGATGGACTTTGTACAGACCTGGGACTTCGGTTGACAGGAGCACGGGAAGGAGACTGTGGGAAAGGACAGCTCAGGGAGAGGTGGCCTGGGAAGGTTCCATTTGTGTCTGGCCCATCTCACTGGCCCAGCATCCCAACTTCTCTCTAGGGCAAGAGAGATGCCCAGCAGCCTCAGGAGGCCTGCCCAGGCTCCCATGGAGCTTCCAACCGCCTCTTGCCCCGTGGCTGCCCCACTCCCATTGCGGCCTGCACACTCATGCTTGCCACATCGTGAATCCCAGTAGGGGCTTCAGGCATGGCAGTGCAGAAGAGGGGGTACCAGGCCCCCTCAATCATGGGTTTTCCTCCCAGTAGATGTCTTATGGACTCTGGCTGGTCCCATAGAACCATGGGATGGGCCCAGCTGCCCCTGGCCTCACACTCTGCTCCGCTAGGGTTGGAGAAAACAGAACAATAAACACAGATGCAGGTGGCCGGTCGGCCTCTCCTGCCTGCTTCCTTGGCGTGGGTCTGATTTTCTTGGCGGTTCTGCAGTTCTCATGGAGCCCCTCTAAAACATGCACCTGGGCAGGCTTCTTGCACCTGGGGCTTTTCCAACAGCCCCAGAGTTCAGCTGAGCAAGCATTCCCCACCCAGGTCCACTCTCAGGTACTGTGGGGGGTTATGGGGAGCAGGCTGGCAGGCTGGAGGGCCCAGGACACGCGATCAGCCCTGAAAGCTCTGGCTGGCAGCACAGTCTGGCCACTGAGGGCTCTGTGCCCCAGCGGTCTGTCCAGGACTGAAGCTGGGATTGTCTTCCCCCAAGGTGGGGGGTTGCTGGGAACTGGAACAGAGCAAACTAACACTACCTAGGTGTACACAGACCCAGGAGTAAGAGTCTTCCTGACTGGAGGCTGCACGGGCTCACCTGGGCTGGCTGGGGTAGGCTTTGGCTCCCAAGATGCTCTCTGAGCAAGTCCTGATCCTCAGGCCACAGCACCTCCTGGCTTTCCTGTCTCACAGTTTCACAGGAAGGGTAGTAAAGAAGCAAGATTCCTGGGATCATTTACCCCCTTCTTCTGAGATGAATCCCTGTTATCCCCCCGAGACTTGTCCCCTAGACCCCAAAGGCCTACCTGTCTGACCCTAGGAGCCACTTTTTTTACCCAGTGTCCAGAAAGTCCAGTGTCCAGGCCCAAGCCTCAGGCTTTCTCCTCTCTCCTGGCGGCCCTCTGGCTCTGGCCTCTGGAACTCTGTCCTTCCCTGACCCATGTGGCTATACCCTGCAGCCCTCTGGACAAATACACCTGCTAAGGCAGATGGGCTGGTCCTGCCACTTCTCCTGTGTTCCTGGCCGATACCTGGGACCCATAACAGGTCTCCTGGTCGTCCTCCCCTGTTCTCGGCGCTGCCCGGTCTCCCCCTCAGGCCCCGCTCCCAGCCGGAGTTGCAGAGCGCTGCAGCCCGCCACCCAATTCCCTGCTTCCTGCAGACTGAGCAGCTCCTCCAGAACTCTGATCTGGACTGGACAGTGGTCGCATTCTGGTTCCTGAGATGGGTTGGGTGCCATGGTCGATGTGATATCTGTCCTCAAAAATGTCTCAACTACGCTCAAGCCACCATTTGAGTCAACACTGCCCACTCCCTGGTCCAGAGCAGGGAGAGCTAATGAATATGATGTTTGCTTTGGGCTGAATTTTGTCTTCCCCAAATTCAAACATTGCAGCCCTAACTCTTCCCCACAAGTAACTATATTTGGAGATAGGGCCTTTACAAAGGTGATTAAGGTTAAATAAGGTCATGAGGGTGGGGCCCTAATCTGATAGAACTGGTGTCCTTATAAGAGACCCCAGAGCTCTCCCTTCACCATGTGAGGACACAGTGAGAAGGTAGCCGTCTGCAAGCCAGGAAGAGAGTCCTCACCAGGAACTAAGCTGGCACCTTGGTCACTGGAACTTCCAGATTCTCTCTCCTGGCAGCACACGTTTTGTTAGGACCACCCAGGCTAATAGAATTTTCTTTTTCACATGTTTTATTTTGAGTTCCTCAAGAAACAGAACCTGAGACAAGTTTCCTGCTGGAGAACTCAGACAGTATAGAATATACCTCAGAGTTTTTATACCTGAGGAGCAAGGGAGCTGGAGTATTTATAAGCCGAGTTTTATGAGTGGTCGAGGGCTTCCGGGGGGGTGTGAGGTGGGGAGCATTACATTCCTGGCACCTCCAGGCAGCCTGTGGGTGTTAAGGCAGGTCCCAGAAACTAGAGAAAATTCTCAAGCAAAAAAATTCAGGTATTAGCAGCCCTGACTGGTGTGGCTCAGTGGGTTGGGTGTTGTCCTGGAAACCAAAGTGTCGCCAGTTCAATTCTCAGTCAGGGCACATGGCTGGCTTGCTGGCCAGGTCCCCAGAAATCAATAAATTCATTTGGTGGTATGTGAGAAGCAACCACCAATTGATGTTTCTCTTGCACATCACTGTTTCTATCCCTCTCATCCTCCCTCCCTTCCCTTCTCTCTAAAAATAAATAAATAAAATGTTTTTTAAAAAATGCAGGTGTTGGCAGATGCAATCAGACAGGTATACACTGAAGAGGTAAAGATGAGGGCATGTGGGTGGGCACAACAGTATCTGCCCTGGAGGTGGTCCCTGGCAGTCAGCCTGGGGAACAGGAAGGTTTTTTGGGGGGTGGTGGTGTACTTGAAATAAGTACAGAGTGGGCATGAATTTTCCTTTATCTTCAGGTCCCATCTCTCCTGAGAACACGTGACAGAAACTCCACCCAGGTCGTTTCTAGATGCCAGGTGACAGGCCCTTCTCAGCATCAGCCCACCCGCAGGCGTTTTCCCCACAGGGCCAGTTGGGGTGGGGAGTAGGATGGAGTAAGACACTTGGTTGCTCGATCTTCAGAGAAAACATCTCCCACAAATCCTTTGCTTTCTTCTCACGTTTCCCAGCAGAACCAGGCTGCTGTGTTGGGCGTCCTATCCTGGGGACCAGGCAGCCTCCGAGACTGCGTTTGTCTCAGCCAGGGTCCACCGTGGACGGGCCTCAATGATTCAAGGGAAGCCGGGCAGCCGCTGAGATCAGCCCTGCTGCTGACTGCTCTGCAAAACGTCCTTCTCCCCAGCCCCACCCATACCGGTGGGGCGCTTAGCTTCTTCCAAAAACAGAAGTCTCCCAGAAAAATGGAAACTGCCATGCAGTTGGGAAAGGATGGTTTTTAAATAAACAGCATTGGGCCAGTTGTATATTCATATGAAAAAATTAAATTTCACCTGTATGTTACATGATACACCAAAATCAGTTCGTGGTAGATTGTCGATCTCAATGTAAAGACTAAAACAATAAAGCTTCACGCCCTTGAATATAGACTGCAAACCATTTCACCATCACACAATCAACTTTAGAATGAGGCAATCATTGAACTTGTTTGAGGTGGTTCAAATGGACCCCTAAATCTCTTTTCTCTTCCCTAGGATAACTTCTCCAAATAGGAAAAAGTTCAGAGATCATGTTCTTCATAGTTAGTCATTCTCTGAAGCTCCTAGCTCCTGAGCCGAGGGTGGCCCTTTCCCCTCCCGATCCGCACCTTTGCACTCACCCTGGAGCTTCCTTCCCTTGCTACCACCTCAGTGGCGGTAACAACAGTCATTGGATAACGGAAGGGAACGAGCTGCCTCCTTGAAGCCACCAGCTTAAAGTCTAATGTTTACCAGAAGAGCCCACCGTGAGGTGCGGATGGGTGTAGGGAATTGACCATTCCTGTGGACTCAGATCCTCCTGCACTTTTTTAATACTCCCCTCTCTTCACTCTCATAGGAGTTTTGATGACTAGAACTTAATTGAATGCCGTCTAAGTTTTCAATCTTTTCTTCACAATTAGTGCTATATTTATCCTTTAAAAAAAAAAAAAGAAAAGAAAATCCTTACCTATTCCAAAATCAAGAAGACATTTTGATTGTTGTGCATAGTATAAGACAGGAATTAGTTTAATTTTTTTGTATGGATAACCAATTGGCTCAGCACCATTTATTGAAATGACCGCCTTTTCCTCACTGCACTGTAGTGGCAACTTTATCATATGTGAAGTGTCCATACAAGGGGGGTACCCCCCAAAAAATCAAAATTATCTTCTGTAGGCAGGCTCCTTGTAGAACAGGCTTCCCCCACTAGGTGAGTGTTCTAAGAACGCATCTGTATCAGTGTACCAGCTGGCATTGTTGTGAGAAGCTGCATTCGGCTTCAGTGATACTTTTTCGAAGACTCAGCACGTTTGCCCATTTCATGGTGGGTGATTTATGAGTACTCCTACCCAGACCACACTGAGTGTTCAGCAGTTTTTGACCAAAAAGGGCATGGACCCTGTGTCCCACCCTCCCTATTCACCCAATCTCACCCCAAATGACCTTTTTCCCCCCTGGATGGAAAAAGTCCTCAAAGGGAGACCTTTCGCTAATGTGGAAGAGATGAAACAAAAAATGACATAAGCGCCAAAAGGCATCAAGATCAATGAAGTCAAGCTATTTTCAGCAGTGGAAAAAAGTTTCAGTAAGTATATTTCATCAAATGGAGTAGTATACCTTGAAGGTGACTTAAGCTTGACCATGTTCCCTGGCTGATGTGGCTCAGTGGATTGAGCTCTGGCCTGTGAACCAAAAGGTAGCCGGTTCGATTCCCAGTCAGGGCACATGCCTGGGTTGTAGGCCAGGTCCCCTGTGGGGTGTGCACGGGAGGAAACCACACGTTGATGTTTATCTCCCTCTCTTTCTCCCTTCCTTCTCTTCTCTCTGAAAAATAAATAAAATATTTTTTTTAAAGTTTGAACGTGTAAGAACAAATACACATTATTTTATAAATAAATTCCATTTTATGGGGGGTACCCCTTGTATTATATATGGGTCTGTTCTGGATTCTATATTCTGATCCTTTGGTCTTTTTGTCTAGTTTTATACAAATACCACACTATTATAATTACTTTAAAATAGTAAGTTTTGATATCCAGTACAGCAAATCATTCAACTTAATTTTTCATGATTATTTTGGCTATGTTTAGTCCTTAGCACTTTCATATAAATTTTATAATCAATTTATTAATTTCTATTTTTTTAAAACCTGCTGAATTTTCTTTGGGATTGCATTAAGTTCATCTATCAACTAATGGAGAATTGACACCTTTGATATATTG